GGAAGACCCAGGACACACTGGAGGGACTATGTCTCTCAGCTGGCCTGGGAACGCCTTGGCATTCCCCCGGAGGAGCTGGAGGAAGTGTCTGGAGAAAGGGAAGTCTGGGCATCTTTGCTTAGACTGCTGCCCCCGTGACCCGGTCCCGGATAAGCAGAGGAAAATGGATGGATGGATGAATTAACAAAGTAGCCTACTGTCACCACTATCATTATCAATTTTTCCTCAAGATTTAAGCCATATGGAAGCACACTGCATTCACCAAAAAACTGAAGGTCTCACCAAGGTCTCGCTTTAAAATTCATTAATTCATTTATCAATTGTCATTTCAGTGTTCATTTGACTGTGTATTTGATGTGTAGTCAAAGATATCACAGTGCTGTTTTTAATTGTTGCCTTTAGTGTTTTTCCATTGTTTTTGTTGTAACAATTGAAATGTGTGATACCATGATCTGTAATGCCTGGAAACTGAAAAAAACCTTAATTTTATAATCACTTTAAAGCTCCAACAGTCATGTTATTAAGACTGATGACTTCTGGGGGTACTATCAGAAGCTCTGCACACTGGTACTGTTAGGTATTTTTAGTCAGATAGATATTGGATAGATACTTTATGTATTAGAAATGTTAGTGGAGAGAGGATGTCTAGTTAGACTGTTAAATGCTTAGTCATGCTTATGAGTTTCTACAGGGTACATCTGGTCAAGGATAACTAGAGAGAAGAGTTGATGACTGTCAGCAGACAGGGTGTTTAATATTATTATTACGACGTGTATAACTGTAGCCTTAGCCATAATATGTTCCTATGTTCAAGTCACGACATGTACTAGAGTTCGTGAGAATGTTTTTAGCTACACACCACTTAACCAACAGACATACACATTCACACGTTGATTTGCTTCATGTTTTGACTACTGCTATGACCAGCTGCAAAGCTGGCAACAGAGACGTCCCAGTTGACGTTTCTGTGTAGTATGGGGCTAGCCCAACCGAGGGGATAAAATGTATAGGCCTGGTGGGCTCAGGGTCTTTCATCTTACATCTGCCTGCATGCATGTTGGAGGTGCAAGACACTTGAGCGTGTAATGTTAATTTTACCTGTGATCCTTTGAATAAATCAGCACTGTTTTGAAGTCTCTCAGAGTTAGCATGGTAAGACGGACCCTACCCTACAGCACCTTCATGTTTTTAATTGGTCCATGCATTTGTTACTTCCAGGCTGGACTACTGTAACTCTTTACTATCAGTATGTACCAATAGATCCCTAAAAAGCCTCCAGTTAATCCAAAATGCTGCAGCCAGAGTAATGACAGGAACTAGCAAGAGAGAGCATATCTCTCCCATATTAGCTTCTCTCCACTGGCTCCCTGTAAAATTCAGAATAGAATTTAAAATCCTTCTCCTAACATACAAAGCCCTTAATGACAAGGCTCCATCGTATCTTAAAGACCTCGTAGAGCCTTATCATCCTAACAGAGCACTTCACTCTCACAGTGTAGGTTTACTTGTGGTTTCTAGAGTCCACAGAAGCAGAATGGGAGGCAGAGCCTTTAACTATCAAGCTCCTCTCCTATGGAACCAACTCCCAGTCTCAGTTCAGGAGGCGGACACCCTCTCTACCTTTAAGATTAGACTTAAGACGTTCCTTTTTGATAAAGCTTATAGTTAGGGCTGGATCAGGTGACCCGGAGCCTTCCCTTAGTTATGCTGCTATAGGCCTAGGCTGCTGGGGGGCCCCATGATGCTCTGAGTTTCTCTCCCCTCCCCTCCTGCTCTCCTCTCCTCTCCTCTCCTCCCCTCCCCTCTCCTCTCTCTCCCTATGCTTCTATATGCC